AGGCTCCCTTCCACTAGGCTTGCTGGACATGAAGTTTATGGAGATGGTGTAATTACAGGAGCTAGTTATCTAGTTCATCAAGCTTTGATGGCAGACACATAACCCATAACCTGGAAGGAAGCCTTAAAGGTGAGAGAATGGAAGGATGCTATGAAAGAGGAGTTGAAGATGATTGAGAAAAATAGAACATGAGAATTAGTCAAACTGCCACAAGATAAATTGCCTATTGATGTGAAGTGGGTTTTCAAGCTAAAATTGAAACCTGATGGAAGTGTGGCCAAGCATAAGGCCAGATTGGTAGCAAATGGCTTCTTACAGCAGGAAGGAATTGACTACACAGAGGTATTTGTTCCTGTAGCTAGGATGGAGACAGTGAGACTAGTTACAGCAGTAACAAGTTCTAAAGGCTGGAAGATGGTTCAAATGGATGTGAAGTCAGTCTTTCTTAATGACCCACTAGAAGAGGAGGTGTACATTGTACAACCACCTGGTTTTGAGAAAGAAGGGAGAAAACACCTTGTGTACATATTAAGAAAGGCCTTGTATGGGCTCAAGCAAGCCCCTAGAGCATGGAACATGTTTATTGATGCAGTTCTAGCCAAACTAGGATTTGTGAAATGCATAGTTGAATTTGGTGTGTATGTGAAAAACACAAGTCTTACAAACACACTCATTGTGTGCTTGTATGTTGACGACTTAATCATTATAGGAAATGAAGATGCAGAGATTGGAGAATTTAAAGAAAAGATGAATGTTGAGTTTGAGATGACAAATTTAGGAACACTGAGTTATTTCCTTGGGCTAGAGTTTGTACATACTCACAGTGGAGTGTTTTTACATCAGAAGAAATATGCACAGGAGATTTTGAAGACATTCAAGATGGAATATTGTAATGAGGCTGTAATTTCAGTACTACCTGGAGTAAAACTGACTGAAGAAAATGAGGCTGAAGTGGTAGATGGAACTTTATACAAGCAGATAGTAGGGTCACTCAGGTTTTTGTGTAACAGTAGGCTAGATTTGAGCTATGGAGTAAGTTTGATCAACAGATTCATGCATGACCCCAGAACACCCCACTTGATAGCTGCTAAACACATCTTGAGATATCTAAAAGGCATTACGGATTGGGGAATTTTCTTCCCAAAAGCTGATGAGCATAATGGAGCAGTGTTGGAGGCATTTCCGGATTCAGACTGGTGTGGAGATAGAGTTGAGAGAAAAAAATACATATGGATACTTATTTAGATATTTGAACGCACCAATTTCTTGGTGCTCAAAGAAGTAAAATGTTGTGGCCCTATCATCATGTGAAGCAGAGTACATAGCTGCCTCAAAAGCAGCTTGTCAGAGTTTGTAGCTGGAAGGAATTCTAAAGGAGCTGAAGCTGGATTACAGGAAACCAGTTCAACTTAACATTGACAATAAATCTGCAATTAATTTGTCTAAAAATCCTACACTACACAGAAGGAACAAACACATTGATATGAAGTTTTATTTCCTTCGTGATCAAGTGAGCAAGGAGAAGCTAATACTAGTCTACTGCAACACAGAAGAACAAACAGCGGACATCTTTACCAAACCGCTGAAGCAAGCACGGTTTGACAAACTTAAGGAGAAATTGGGAATGACTAGACTATGATTTTGGCTTAGGGGGGTGTTGACTATTTTTTTGCAACCCAAAACCGTATTAGGAAAAAACTGTTGAGACTAACAAATTTCTAGAAACAGAACCAGACACTTTAAATACTATTCATTTCATGTAAACAGATGTAGAGATTAGTAAAGTTTTGGTTTTTAATACTTATCTTCCAAGAATTTTTTCTCTTGTTATGCGATTGACACAAATTCTGCAAAATAAAAAGAAAACGTGATTAGTGAAGCAGAGAGGAGATTAATTAGTGGTGAAGCAGAGAGGAGTTGATTAGTGGAGAAGAAGAGATGTTCGATGATTTAAAAAGATAAGGGATAAGACTGCAGAAGAGAGAAAAAAGAAAAACAGAAATGACAGAATGGTAGGAAGAGAAAATATATATTTTTTCAGTAAATAGACTAGTAAATAATAAACGGCCCAATACATCGGTGAATCATAAAAAAAAATTCTTAAATCAATAGATCTTTTGTCACATTATCTGAATAAATTAACAATGAAAACAAGGGACTTCAAGTTCTTTTTCATTTAAGGGTTAAGTGTTAATAAGTTTAATGGTATTAAACTCTAACTATATATTTCATCCATTATATTCCTTTGATGCACATATCAACAATTTGATATTTCCTTAGCTTGTTTTCATAGATGTCGAATTTTTGATGTTTTAATGGGTGGGGTTGGAGCTTCTCTTCTTGGCCTTTATGCTTTCTAACCTGGCAAGGTTATAAATTGAATTAACTTTTTCTCCATATATGAATTGTTTAATGAATATCTTAGCAAATAACTTGCCACTTTGATGGAGTAGGTTGTAGGCAGGCATGATACAGAATCTTGCTAACTGCTCAGAGCTTGACACACGGAGGACGTACTACAGCTTCAGCATGACACTTCATTGGCCTCCATTCCCCCCTCTCGTCATCCTCTCATTCCTCCATATAAAATATTTCTTTTCACTTGTTCAATAAATGGGGCGCATGAGTAGGGCACTTAGGCTAGATGCCTAATTCACTTCAATTTTATTGCTTTCATAGGATTTTCTTAGGATCTTCTAATCTTTCACCTTTCAGCAACCAAAATGAGGGCGTAACACGTGTTCAATCCAAATTAATTAAAATAGACAATGTAAACGATCTTTTTAACACCATTTATTTCAAAATACTTCTACTTCTACTCATGTAAAAATGTTTTAAAATAATGGATGTTTTCATTTTTCTGCTCAAACAACAATTTGTTTCTACTTAATATATTCATAGAATAATTATTTTATTTTTCGCACTCAAAGTATCTTATGGAAAGATTGAAATTATTCTTAACATGTGTATAATTAATAACCTTAAATTGCAATAATTTTGAAAGGTAGTAGTTTATAAAAATGTGATCATTGAAGTCATTGTCAAGAGAATTCTATTATTGTGAGTAATTAATTGTGAATGCGTCGATAATAAGAGACAAAGACCTCACCCAGTATAAAGTCTCCCCTGGCCGTTGGATGCATATACGGTAGCAAGCTCATAGGTGTACGGTTATGATTAGAGTGGTTTAGTTACTTTAACCTCTACACCACTATTTTTGTGCTGTTGCGAATGCGTACAGGCCACAACGCCCACGATTTTAAATCAATAATTAATTAAAAGTTTTTTTTTCATTCTTATATTTTCATGTCTGATTTCGGAAGTCTCTTTTCTTTAGTTCGGTTTTCGAAAACATTCTTCTTTCCAATCACAGTAATATTGATATATATTTTTGCCTTTATATTTTAATTATATCATATTAAATTGGCGTGTATATGTAATAATAAGTCTAATCATTTTAATAATTACTATTCTAAAAATCGCTGAAAACAAATTTTAATTGATTAATGATATAAAAAGTTTTATAATGACTGCCATCAATATTATCTTAAAAGAATTACCAGCTGTTTTTTCTGAGTCTTAAATCTCGGTACTGATATAAATTTGATAGCCATATATAACTCTCTCTGCTTTTCCGGGGAATTCCCCAACCTTACTCTGCGTTCTTTCTGAATCCACCAAAACAAGCACAGTTAGTAGGACCCTTTAACACAAAATTATTCTTTTTCTCTTCTGCCCCTCTCCCATTACATCATAAACGTAAAAGGAAGGGGAATCCAAGCTGGGATCAGAAAGAGCAAGAGTCTCTAATCACACTGTTAAACTGAAACCGTGCTTGATTCTTGTAAGTGCTTTCCCAACCCTTGTTTACAGGGTCGCTTGATCTGTTTACTTTGCCATTCCTTTTTAGCATCACTAGTAAACTACTACTTATTTCATTGCTTGTTTCTTCGTCTCTCTCTCTCTCTCTCTTTTCATAACAGTCAAGCATAGTCTCCTTTCTGCAATGCCGTTGACTCACGCTCCAATAACCTTTTATTTGGGTTTTGTTCTGTATGGTAATTGGTAGCCAACACTCTGCTCGTAACTTCGTTCTTTATTCTTTAAGTCTTGTTTTTCTTCAGCGTTCTCAGAAGACTTTCAGATTTTCTTTCCTTTGATCCATATGTTACTAAAAGACCTTCCATTTTTTTCCACGGTTTGGATTTCCTTAAGTCAATTTGAGAGCAAATTTTGCTAGGGTGAGTCTTTCTTTCTCGCAAGAGGAAATCAGAAAAAAAGTGCACTTTTTTCAATGGATGTTGATTGAGATCTCAAATTTGCTTATAATTATTACCAAGCCTAAGGATGAAGGAAAAGTATCTAAACCCAAACCTTTTATGGTTCTTTAACCGTTCATCCCCACACTATTTTCTGTAAAGTGCAAAACTTTGCGTAACTCAAAGAACCCAGCCTTTTGTTTATTTTTCACGTAGATTACATGTTTTTTTTTTGTTTATTCTTATTTTTTGGCCTCATAAGCTGTCTCTGTTTCCCCTGCAACTAGTTCTTTTATATTGCAGTTGAAAACCGCTCGACACTTGTTTATGATTTTAAAACATTAACATAGTTTTCTTGGACAAGAAAAATAAATATCTAGACCCACGTAATTTACTTTATTTTTCTCCCATATACGACCTCCCCTTATTATTACAAAAGCCCTCAAATTGAATTATAAAACATTCCCTCTAGGATTTGGATAATCTGGATCTTAAACGTTGCTGCCACCTGTTTTTCCATTATCGTTTTTTCCGATCATTTAACTGCTTTCTTGTTTGCCTCAGTTTTAAGTCATCAAAGGTGGAGGAGCAATGAGAACAGAGTCGAAGAAATTATCCAAGGCACGCACATGCACTACCACTCTATTTTCTTTTCATTCTCATCTAATCTCGTAGATCACGAAACGGTTATTCATTTTAATTTTAATTTTCGCGTTGCAGACTTCGTGGCCCAAATTAGCCATGAGGAAGTGGCTCAATATGAAGAACAGTGCTGAGAAGTTTCACTCAGACTATGATGCAACAGGTGAAACGCAATTCTTCAATTCTCGTTATCAGTTTCCGATTGCGTTTTCGTTTTCACGTTTCGAGTTGAAACTTGACCGGGAATTTGCTTTCCTCTATGTATGTGGACTCAGCAACTGCGAGGGAAAGAAGAAAGAGTTGTTCGGATCAAGATCATTACGTCGTGGTATCGGGTGATTTCTCAGGTAATTTGCGAAAACTGTCTCACATAAGTCCAAGTGGTGAGATGAGATGAACGGCGCAGTCCAATTCGTCACCGGTCACTTGATTTGGATTAGTGCTAATTGTGCTGCCACGTGGACGGCTGATTTTCATTAATTTGATTAAGTAGGTTTAATTGCAATTGTTATTAAAAAAGTAAATCTGTTTTGTTTGGGTGTGTTTTGAAAGAGGGGTGGGTGATGGATGGTGGAAGCGGAAGGGAAGGTTTGGTGCATGGGAAGAAATCAAGTCGTGGGAGTGGCACTGGGGCAATGGAGCTTAGGTAAATACTTGAATCATAGCCGTCGTTGAAATAATGTGTGGCTATTGAAAGATTATAAAAGTCGTATACACGGCCTTATTTTGGTAAAAAAATTGTGGGGTGCTCTTGACTTGAGAAAAATGATTGAGCATTTGAGGGTGTGGTTTTGTGTATGACAGAATGTTCGTGGGGACGTGGAACGTGGGAGGGAAATCACCAAACCAAAGCTTGAATTTGAGGGATTGGCTTACGTGTCCTTCTGCTGCTGACATCTATGTTATTGGGTATGTATGTGCCATATTATTACTATTATTATTTTTTTGTAATCTCTGTTTAATCTCAACCACTTTCTTCAATTTCTGTTCTATGACCTGTTTGTTTGCCTTTATGCACCAATTAAAATATCCCACGGTACAAGCTGCGCATAATTGCGATGCTTCTGGCTCATTTTTCAATGACTGACTCAACCTGCGTTTGTGTCTGGACCATAGAGGCCAATTTTCGCCCCATTCTTCCTTCTCCACGTTGAAAATAAATTTCGCCAAATAAATTTAAAATCTAATTCATTTAAAACATTTGTTAAGGAAAAAGTTGACAAAAAATAGTATTCACCGTTTGTTTGTCGTGAACTAGTGAAAGTTGATTATATTAAAGAGTGAATAATAATAATAATAAATGATGGGATCTAAAACAAAGTTCCACTAATGCATAATGGGATATTCAATTTTGTTTTCCCATTTTTAACATTTTTTTCTTTTAAAAATGATTATGTAGTTTCATTTCTTCTTTAGTAGTCAAGTTTAATAATAATAAAATAACATTAATAGTGAATAACAATAGTAATAAAATGCTCATATTTATTTTTTATTTAAAGTCTTAAAAAATAACTCTCTTTTTTAAAACACAAATAATTTATATTGCCATTTTGTATTTTACTTATTTTTCTTTCGCGCTTACTTCTTCACAATATTTAATCTATCTAACAAACATATATCAATATATACCTATTGTGAGTTTAAATAAATTCTTCATATATATTCGAATGATTTTTTATTTTAAATTGTTTAATTGAGTATTGATTTAAAAAATCTATTTATATATATATATATATATTATAAAATAAAATAAAAATGATATTAAATATATTATTCATGGTCACTTAATTCTTTGCAACTATAAGAAACCGTGCAGTTAGTTTTTTTTTTTTTTTTACATAAACACCGTGTAATTACTACTAATTGTTTTTTGCCATCTAAAAAATTGTTGATTGAGAAATTTCATACAAGAACAATCTTAAAAGGCATATAAAAAGGAAGAAAGGCGTAGAATTTAGAGGACAATTCTCTCAATACAATAAAATAAAAAGGTTAGAGAAAGAGCGCTAATATTTTATGACATTTGTGTGGACTTGTCTTCGTTTCACTTATTGGGTTGTATGTTGTTAGGTTCCAAGAAATTGTACCGCTAAATGCGGGGAACGTGCTTGGGCCGGAGGACAGTGGCCCAGCAGCGAAGTGGGTGGGCCTTATACAGGAAGCCTTGAACAATGGTGAAGACAACGATGAAGGAAGCCTCAAGTGTGGGAAAAGTTCCTCAGAATTCCTGTCGTTAGAGGAGGAGTTGGGTAATGGAGAAAGGTCTCCTAAGAGTCCACCAAGCTACTGCTTAGCAGCAAGCAAGCAAATGGTTGGTATCTTCTTGTGCGTGTGGCTACGAACGGATCTTTGCAACCATGTTTCCAATTTGAAAGTGTCCAGTGTTGGCAGAGGCATCATGGGCTATCTTGGAAATAAGGTGAATCAATAATCCTACACGAAAAATGTGTAACACTATATGAAACACCGTCTTCTAATTATGTTTTCATGACATGAAATTGACGGAAAAATGGCTATACCCTAGTACCGGACATATGACCTTTGTTTTTGGTCTGATTGGGATGTGACATATAAGTTGTGGACAAGTAGAGTCTGCAGTAGCTACAGTATGATGATTGCTTACAATTTTTATTGTTTGCTCTGTTTGTTAGGGTTCAACATCAATTAGCATGACCTTGTACAACACCACGTTCTGCTTCGTTTGCACCCATCTGGCTTCTGGGGAGAAGTTTGGTGACGAATTGCGAAGGAATTTGGATGTCTCAGAAATCTTGAAGAAAACTAAATTTTGTCACTCCTGTAAATCTCTTCCTCATCCTCACCCTCCTGAAAACATTCTGGAACACGAGTATGTCCTTTATTTTATTTTATTTGTTTGCTTTAGTTTCTTTTAATTTGTTCTGGTTATCACTTGAATTTGTTTGGTTTCTGTGTAGTAATATTATTTGGCTTGGCGACTTGAATTATCGACTAGCTGCTGGCTACGATGACACACATGAACTACTAAAGAAGAACAATTGGCAGGCATTACTAGATAAGGATCAGGTAATCATCTTTGCTACGATTTATGTGTCTTTTTTTAGTGTTTTAGTTTTTTACTTCATTTCTCTTTGCTAACACAATATTGTATTGACTTGGGTTGGCAGCTAAGGATAGAGCAGAGAGCTGGTCGAGTATTCAGAGGTTGGAATGAAGGGAACATATATTTTGCTCCTACTTACAAATATTTGACCAATTCTGATCACTATGTTGCCCAATCCTCCAAATCCAAGGAAAAACGACGAACTCCTGCTTGGTAAGATTTAGAATTCCTTGTTAATCTATAGTTAGCGTTTTGTCATCCACCAAGGGCGCAAGTCCATTTTGCCGTTTAAGTTGTTTGTTTATGTTCTTTGTTTTATCATGGTCAATTGATGGCTTGCCCCATTTGAATCTAAAGCACATCAATTGAGCATTTTCATTTGCTCAGGTCACTTTTAATGATGACAATTGCATTTCTTTAGAAACTAGTGGCGTATGCCTTTGAAAAGGACTCGCTTGTGATGTATGTATAAAATGTTTTGCTATTATGATTTGATCAAAGAAACATTTGAAAAATTACTCATTTTGTGAATAATGTTATTTTTACATTAATTGTTTTATGATAAAAACTATATAACAAAAAATAAAATTGATTAAAAAAAATTATAAAATAAATAGTGTGACAGAGTGAGACCAGACTATAGAGAAAAAAAGATGATGTATGAATCATATTTTTTAAATTATTAAAAAATTTAAACTTTGTTTTAGTTAAACTAACATGTTAATCTATATATTTTTTTAATTATAACTACGCATCATCTTTATGTTATGATCATTTTTATTTTATTTTTATGCTAATTATTTCAAAACTCAAATATAAAGTAAAAATTTGATATTTTGTATAATTTACTATTGACCAAGTTGCCTTGATTAGCTGGCAATGAGAAACCCATATTCATGAATCATACACTTTTGGTTAAATTAACTTATGTGTCATAGGCGAAATTCATCAATCTCTTTCTCACATTAATGAGGCCTAATATTTTCTTAGTTTATTCTACCGCCTTTTATATATAAGATCAGAATTACTATATAATTATATATTACTACTGTAATATAATTATGTTTTTCGCTGAATTATTTAAAGTGAGACAAAATTGCTTGTGTGGAATGTGAAATCAGGTGTGATCGAATTCTGTGGAAAGGAGAAAAGTTGAATCAGATGTGGTATGTTCGAGGAGAGTCCAAATTCTCAGATCACAGGCCAGTTTATTCACTGTTCTCTGTTGAAGTGGACTTGAAGAGCAAAAATCTAGCTCCCAGGTCGTGCAACTTAAAACCTTTGACAAGTACTGCATTGTCATCAACTTGTTGTGCTGCTAAAGTCCAAGCAGAAGAACAACTCTTGCTGCTAACGAGGGCTCAGAGTTGCATCAACACAGTACCCAGGTTTTGAGTCTTTGAGACACTAGACAGAGGAAGTTTCCAAGTAGGTACCACCTTCAAGTGTAACCTCAACCCAAGATGGTGCACTTAGGTATATATCCATCTCTTGTGGGTATTCATAGTCGTGTACCATAACAATCCTGATGTTTTTTTTTTTTGGGACTAGGTATGAGGTTTATGTTGGAATTGCTATCACTTCGTCAAACACCTAGACTCCTGTAGTGACTAGGATAGCTGTCAATATACTATGAATGACTCAGGAATTTTTGAAGCAGAGAAAATGTTGATTCATAATATTTGTAAATTTTTAAATTGTAATCATAACAATGGTTATTATTATTAATATTGATATTTTTTTATACAGTTGTGCAACTTGTATTATTCTTCTTATAGAGTACAGATTGATGATGTTTGTCATTCTGCCCTGGCAAAGTTTCTTGCATTTATTTGTAATTTTTTTTCCTATTGTTTGTACTTGTATGATGATGATTATTTTTTTTAATAGCTTCGATCAATTATTCAATCTTTTGCTCGTAAGTACTTTTTTACAAAAACTAAATATATTCTAAGAAAATAAAGTCTATACTTTATGATTATACATTACAATTTAATCAAATTATAATCGATGTTAGATTTCAAAACACTATTTTATATTATATTGAAGATGAGTTATTTTAATAAAATGAAGAGTTATTTTCAATAAAATCTCTCATTTCAAAGAAGAGTGACTCCGAAGGTTACTTTCATAAGAGTATCTTTTGTTTATGTTTATAATATTAATATAGATTTACTACTTTTAATTTATAAAATTTATTTTTTATGATTATTGATACGTTTACATCCAATTATTAGTTCAAACTAAGTTTTTATTATGAGATACATCTTATTAAAAAGAGTAGTGTATTTGTTTGTGATGATAATGGGACTAGCTTAACATTTAACTCTAGTCAAGTATAATATATAATATATTTAAATCCATTAGTACTTCTTAGATATCTTATAATTTCTTTCTTCAATTGAAACTATTAAATGATAAAAAAAAAACTTTATACAATTTTTTATCTTTCTAACAATGATTAAAAGAAAGGTTGTCACTAAATTGGATTAATTGTAACAGGAGTAAATGTGGGCACTAGATTTCACCTTATTGACAAATCCCTAATCCATTGTTTAGACATATATAAATTTATATTCTCAATAATTTCAACAAGTCCTTTCAAATTTCTGCAACTTCTGCAACCCCATCTTTTTGCTTCCAATTATCCTAGCGCATCTTCACGTCGGTGCACGAATTATTGGCATAATATACGTCCATTAGTTTTCTTTATTTGTTGAGCGAATTGTAACGTCTTTGATCTGCGGAATGGTAGTACTTCTTTGTGCTGGTTAAAGTTCTTCTTTATTTGCATTCAAATATTATGAATTTATAATTAACATGTTAACTATTCAAAAATCAAAATATTTTTAATGAATTTCCTAAGAGATTTTTTACAAGTACTTTTTCTATATTAACATAAAATAAGTGAAAAAATATGTATAAATAAGTATATTTTTGCACTTTTGAAACATTATTTGTAATGTTGAAACCTATGATGTTTGAATTTCGAGTTGATCAAGGCTTTTAAATGCGATAGACTTGATCAGAAAATTGAACTTTTCACTTTACTGACGGTGTTAAAATCCTTACTAGTCATAGTTTATTTTACCTATAGCGCACATAAGAAACCCTCCTCTCCTCTGCTCTCTTTTGAACCAGCAGTAGATTTCTTTTCATATTTTTGTTGGGACTTTGATGTGACAGTCTTTCCAGAACCAGGCATTTTGGGTACCAAAGAATCCTGGATGTTTGAATCCACTTCAAGTGTTCTTCACATTTGTTTTCATGGAAAACTTCCTGGTGCCTCTGTTTTCCAATACGATAGAGGCAGCAAAGGTTTTACAATTTGATAGGAATGTCCAGAGCCAATACTTCTTCGGGAAATTGCTCATGTTTTACTGAACAGTTGTTTGACCCAGATGCTGCTTCAACAAACACTATCAAATCTACAAGAACAAGTTTCCTCTGTAAGTGTGGAAAGAAAGGATAATGTATCCTTTATTCATTTGGATTATCAATTGCCATAACGCTAGAAGATCCTATATCAGATTTTAATTATGGTGGAATTAGATAAGTTAAAGCTAGTGTGCTGAAGGAATCTAATCATATAAGTAATTGCAATGAGTGGAATAGTCAACAACACTCTGTCAAACCCTGATGCTTACATGGGTGATGATATTTCCATATCAACAAGTTTCACCCAGAACAAAGTTTATGGCAATACAATGATGATGGAAGATGCTTCCCGTAAGACACGTTAATATTTTATTAGAATTATATCTCCCGTTGGGGAAACATAATTCTAATCTTTCTTAAGACTGCTATACATCTGCATCTGGAATTGAAAAATGTTTCTTCCACAATAAAATGGTCTAAGAAGGCTAAGTTTGTTGTACTTTAAATAAAGGAGTTGGTCTAAGAAGGCTCTTTCACAGTAGCTTAATCTCAATCACTTATTCCTATTGTTGTTAGAACCAATTTTGACGTGTCTATATTTCTACACGTTGCTTATTTCTTATTCATTCTATCAAATTATTCTACAAGATTTTCAAATTTATAATTCTTATGTAAAAACATAAATCATAATAAGAAAATTAATCTTATTTGATCAGATATATCTGAGAATATATTTTTTAATGTTTTTTTTCAACCTCTTTTACCTAATTTATCTTTTTTTCTTTCTTTCTCTTGGCATACTTTTTTTATAGTTTACTATGAGAAGAACTTTATGGTTAGAGACAGAATTCTAATCTTCTTTACTAACCAACATCCACCAAATTAATAAATTTTTATTTTATTTTATCCTTATTTTATTATGACTTCTCGTAATAATCAATAAGTTCTTATATATTTATTATATTTGGGTCATTATTATATTTTATATAAGTCACATAATAGAATTAATCTATTAATTAATTCTAACATTCTCTCACTTGACTTGTGATGTGATTTAATACTTAAGTCATAATGCATATTAAAATAACTTATATAAATTGGTTCTATCATTATTCATAATTAAAACAAACTATAACAAATGTCATAGCGGTTACATGTCATTCAATCGCTCTCTTCCATGTACTACTATATTATCTATTTCTCCTTAATATAACTTTATAATGAAAAGTCTATAATGGGTTTAAACATGATATCATTTTTAATAATAATAACATAATTTGTTTTCTTCATCATAATTTGCATGCATATAAATAAAGAAGAAAACACAAATTTCAAAAACTTATACATTAAAAATATTAGAGTGTCACATGAACATTAATAATAACATTAACATTCAATATTCACTAGTAAATATAATTTTCATATTTATTATATAGTCAACAAACAACTTTGACAAGTAATCCTTTTGTTAAATGATTATAAATCATAAGATTAGTGTTAATATGTTCTATTGACATTCTTCATTTATAAACTTATTCTTTAACAACAAAATATTTCAATTTCATATGCTTAACCTTTGGAATACTTGTTGTTCTTAGAAAAGAAGATTGTTGCGAAATTATCACAATAAATTTTAAGTGATTTGACAATATTGTCGACTACTCCAAGTCCTAAAATAAAATTTCGCAGTCAATTAACCTGAACTATGACCTTAAAGTATGCCACAAATTCAACTTCCATGGTGGATACAACAATGACGGATAACTTTGCAATTTTCTATGAAATCGCTCCTCTGCCTAAAAGATATACATAATCAAATGTAAACTTTTGTGTATCCATACAACCAGCAAAATCTAAATTTGTACATCCAATCACCTAAAGGTGATCAACTTTCTTATAAGTAATCATGTGATTATTTGTTCCTTGTAAGTATCTTATGATTTTCTTTGCAGTTTTCTAATGATTCAGTCCAAGATTACTCTGGTATCTACCTAGCATTCCAACTGCAAAACTAATATCTGGCATCATACATATTTGAGCATACATACATCAAACTCCCAACAACAGATGCATAAGGGATATTTATCATTTGATTCCATTCCAAGTCATTATTTAGACATTGTATGAGACTAAATTTCTCTCCTTTCTGTATTGGAATGGGAGGTGTTGAAAATTTATCCATTCTAAATCTCTTTAAAACTTTATTAATATATTTTGAGACAAACCTAACTTGTGATCTATCTCAGCATATTTTTATTCCTATCACATAGTATGCATCACTCATATCTTTCATTTCAAAGTTGCTAGAGAGAAACTTCTTAGTCTCACTTAATAGACCAAGATCATACAGAATCAGAAATATAAACGTGTTCTCACTGATCTTCAGATATATACACCAATCAACAATGTTTTTCTTAATCATTGAGCTTAAGATATCATTGCCAAGAAACTTGTTTAAGTCCATATATTTATTTCTTAAGTTTACACACCATGTGTTCCCTTCCTTCTTCAATGAACCTCATTGGTTGGTCCATATAAACATCATCCTTTAATCCCCATTTAGAAAGGTTGTTTTAACATCCATTTGATATAACTCCAGATCATAATGAATTATTAATGTCATGATAATTGTAAAAGAATCTTTCTTAGAAACAAGTGAAAATGTTTCCTTATAATCAATGTCATCTTTCTGAGTAAAATCTTTGGCAACAAGTCAGACCTTGTAACGTTCGATATTGCCATGAAAGTTACGTTTAGTCTTAAAGACCCATTTACACCTAACACCATTGTATCCTTCTGGCAATTCCACAAGATCTCATACATCATTATGTATTATTGACTTAAGCTCATCTTGCATAGCATCTAATAATTTATTAGAATTATCACCATAAATGGCATCTGAAAATAAAACTAGGTCATTATTAATACTTATCTTTCTCTGTGAGATCTTCTTAATACTATTTCTTATGGTTGTTCTATTATCAGCTCATTGTTAATCTCGGGATCATTAATTTATTATTGTTATTGATTTTTTTGTGGTTCTACATGTGAAACAACAATTGTTGAAGAATATGTACTAGGTACAGGAACTTGTACACTAACTTCATTAATCTCCATATTTTGTGAAGTTTCACTCCCACTAGTTTCACCATTTTCAATGAACTGAATATTTCTAGTTTCAACAATTTTTGTACTATGGGTAGGACAGTAAAACATATACTCTATTGATTTTTTTGGATAAATAATGAAATATCCACTGATTATTTTTTTATCCACTTTCTTTTCTTGTGGATTATAAATTCTTATTTATACCTGACAACCTCAAACATGTAGGTGTCTCAATCTAGGTTTCCTACTTTTCTATAACTCAAAATGAGTCTTTTGAATAACTTTACTAGGAACCATGTTCAACAAATACATGACAGTCTTCAAAGCATACATTCACAATAATACAGGGAAACATGAGTTACTTAACATACTCCTAACCATATTCAATCATACAAGTATGCTTAAACAAACTGAAACAATCATTCTCAAACTTAAAAGAGTATCCAACAACATTAAGCTTAAACAAAGAAACTAAAGTTCTAGTGATACTAGGTAAATAAAAAGTATCCATAAGGTTTAAGTGATATTTAGTGTCAAAGATTAAATGATAAATTCCGCAAGCTTTCACTAGAACCTTCACTTTATCCCCCATGAAGACGAACTTCTCATTTGGGTTTATGGTTTGGGTTGAAAGAGATCTTTTTCTTTTCGAACCAAGCTTTACACTTTAAGTAGTCTTTCTGAAAATGGCCAAACTTCCCACAAAAATGACATTTGTCATTTTTTCTTTTAAATTTTAGTAGAGGACTAGTTAATCTTTAATGGTCATTTACAATTTCCATGTTTCTTAACAACTTTCTTTTCAGTTCCTTGATTTTTCACATAATGAATAAAATGACTTACTAGGTTCTTGAGTCCGGTCTCCCCTTGGACTACCATACTATGCAATTCATGCACATTCTATTTGTCTTTCATGGTGTTATAATTCATTTGAAATGAACCATACTCAGACGGTAACGAGTTCAAAATGAATTGCACAAGAAAATTTTCTTCCATTGTCATTCCAAAAGATTGAAGTCTTGCTAAGATATTTGTCATCTCGATTACGTGTTCATGCATACTACGAGAACCATCAAACTTCACGGTGGTCAATGAAAGAGTAAAGATTTTTGTCGCGGTTTCAACACTTTTAAATAAGTTCCCCTAAAACAGTAATAATGCAGTACAATGGGAACCAGAATATCAATTCGTGGAAGTAATAAGAATATATGATTGAGTTATGAATGATTCAATGGGGAACTAAACTAAAAATGAAATTTACAATCTTAGACTAAACTAAAATGAGGTTAAATCTTAATATGCAGTGAATGAAAATACTGCAAAATGCAAAAATGGCTAAAAATATGTAGAATAACAAAAACAATGTATAATCTCAAATTTGACCGTGATGAACAATAACCACAGTCAATTTCGCAAATTTGATCGACGTGAACAATAATAACAGTCAAGAATCACGGTCAGAAATTTGTGCTCTCGGTCAACATGCAAATACTATAAGATGTATCAGTCAAAAATTGAAATCAATGAACAAAATACATGGTTGATCGAGAAGAATGCTAACAGAAATGAAAAATAATGCAAAAGAATGAAGTTAAACCAAATTCATAAATCTGACCGTGATGAACTGTGACCACGGTCAGAAACACACTAGACTTAGTCAGAAATATGTGATATCGGTCAAAACAAAATGTAAAAACAATTATTCGGTCAAGAATCAAATTCAAGGTGTAAAATATATGAATGACCAAGTGAAATGTAATTATTTTTTAGTTTTGAGTTTTTAAATGAAAAATAACCGTAATGAACAGTACTTTCGGTTGGAAAATCAACAAAATGAAAAGGTTTCAGTCAAAATAAAATTATGATGAGATGTCTCAGTCAAGATTTGAATGAAATGTATAAAATGTATGATTGACCGAGAGAAATGCAATTATTTTTGTATTTGGAGGTTTTAAAATGTGAGATGACCGAGTGAGAGTGTTTTGGTGCGCGTGGCTAAAAACCTGAACGAGTGACAGTGGTCAATTCAGTCAAAACGTTCAAAACAGTGGTAAATATATTATGTGAATGCTAGAATGAGTGCAGTAATGTATATTTATGAGTTTTTCAAATTTCTAGGAGGATTTGCAGTGCAGAAAATTAAATTGAGAACCTAGCTACAACAAATCTATTCCAAACTAAGCTATTGTATGACAGAACATAAAACAGTGCAGTAAAATCTATCTAAACCTAAAACTAAGCTTCTACAGAAATTAAAACAAGTAATCAAAGCAATAAAATCTAATTACTGTGACTGCAAAGTAATTAAAACATCAAAACAGTAAAGTTAAAGCAGTAAAATGTAGAAAATTAAAGAAAGCAAGAACTATGAACATGATTCGGTGTAAGCAAGATGGCAAGACTACTGCGTTTTTGACACTGTAAAAACCTAATTAATCAATTAAGCATTCATCATACAATTCAACAAAGTGATTGCAAGCTTCAATCCTCAACCGAGAGACATCCACAAGCTAAACCAAGTCTAGAACAATTTGTCACATGCGATTCAATTTCACAGATTTTGTTCGATAAAAACCTAATCTAATTCATGAATTCAGTAAAGGAAAAACAATAGAAAGAGTAGAAGACGAAGATACAGAACCAATTCATGAAAAATAGTGAAGAAAACGGAACATATACATGGAGAGTGTGATGCAAGCAATGAAGAAACCCATGGAGAGAAGCTTGAGCGTGAGAGAGAAAACCAGTATAGAGAAAATGCGATTTTGATTGATTCTGAATTCTACAACTTCGACTACTTATTTCTACATTAAATTAATCTAATATAAGTTTTCATTAATGTACAATTACAAGTTACAAGACCCATAACCAGAGATAATCCAATAACTTGAGAGAAATGTTGAAGAGTCGCGCTATCTTTGCTTCAGTGTAGTACCGCGTAATTCAAACGCTTGCAATTTCTTCAATACTTCTTCAAATTAAACGCTTTCGATCTCATTGGAAATCTTGTTAAGTTAGATTTCAAACACCACTATTTTTACTAATTTTGGCGGCCTAATGAGTTTAGGATAATTATTTTACTGAGGCATGCCTGTTGGACCGACTCTGTGCGCGTAACCTCTCTTTAATAATTTATATAAAATTCAATTTAGCTCCAAATTGAGTGGTTCTTGATCCTCTGGAAAGATTAATTTTTCTAGTTTTCAATTATTCAAGAATTATGATTTTAGGATCTTTGTAGAAAAAATGATAAATAAAATAGTAAACTACTATTAGTACCCGTATACAATAAAATACAACTAATTTATTGTTTTTATGCAGAATTTTATATGAAGGCTTCTAAAGGCCTAGTAATACAAATTATAGTTAATTAAGCTTTGTTAACACATTATAAACAATAATATAACATTATTAACTACTTAAGATGTGTTGAAAATCAGTCACATCAGTCAACGTACTCATCAATGTTCCAGCGAGGGATTTGTCAACAATTTGGGAGTGCTCTTCCACAAATTTCATAAATTTTTTCGCGTCCTCAGTTCTAGAAAGACAAGACTTAATATTCCTTGCTATACTCATTCGCGTAAATATAAGGCTAAGTCTATTTGACATTTCCAAGCTCTATAAAGAGTTTTCTCTTCATTGTTACTAACATCAGTGATAGTAGCCAATTTCTCAACTTGAAAAGTCAAATCAAGATTCAACACACCTAAGCGAAATTGTACTCGTTCATTCCAGTCAGAGAAATTTAACCCATTAAAGACTAGAATAGACGAAGTGAGCGAATGTAAAGATACAGTAACAAATACTTCAACTAACATATGTCTAACATTAACCATTTGAGTAATAAAAACTAAACATAAATACAAATTCAAATATAAATAACCATTTTATGCATATTAATGTTCTCCTTTTGGGAGATCCACTAATACACAAACATAATGATACTTACCATTTTATAACATTAATGATAATTAAAATATGCATCAACTATAATTACTTAACATCTTTGGATATATAAATAAAACAAGTGATGCACACAAAACTATATACTTTCACGCTCATTAATTATAATAACAATTAATCAATCTTTTGGTGATCGTGAAATACTTTATAATAATGATTAAAATCAAATAACCTTAAAATTTTGGTCACTTTGATGACTAACAAAATTTATTATGTTTAATTTCAAATAAATAATATCTTTAATTGTTGTTAACCATTCATAGCATTTTCATTAATTTTAATAAAAATATACATGATTCACATAATAAAATATTATGTGTCATAAATAAAATTGAAACCCATAAATTAATTTACATTATAGGATTGATTTATGTACAACTTAAATTAATACCAATTACAAATTATCTATAACATACAATTATTGCAAATTAAAAATACATTATTTATATAATAAAATATCAACAACATTAATTCTATTGATAATGTAAACCAATAACATCGATGTACTTTCAGGAGAAAACTATACTGACATATAACAGATAAAAATTAAATAAATAAATAAACAAATAGCATTGTCATCATTCACTCTCCATAAATACCATTATGCATAAAATCTTAAAAATAACCTAATTTAATTAATATTTTGATTCATTAGGATATCAAACTCACATATCACTGCTTTGTTTTTCAATACCCATAACAGACATGTGCAGGGTTGCAATCAAAACACTCAATTGAATTGAATAACATCATTCCATTAATTTCAATCACAAATTCATTCATGTGATAGGAAAAACATTTTGGTGCATTCCCTTAACAATTAAATTGGATTTGAAGATATAATGAATGCAGTGACCACACACAGCGGAAAAATCATATAACTAATTCATAAATTTATTCCTAAAACTTATAATTAGGGTTAGTAAACAAATTTGAGGATAAATTAGGGTTCATGATAATATGATAGAGAAATCCCTAAATTCATTATTATGGTTTATCTTAATTTGGAAAACATAATTTGGGAAAAACTATCATAAGCGGAGAATCATAAATATAATAACAATGACTCTGATACCACATATAAATCATTATGCAGTTTTCTTACATTCGTCATTCATTCTAGAAAACTACTCTTCGGGATCTTTAGATTTATGATTCTCAAACAATAACATAAAAAGATTAATCTTGTTCCATGAGAGATATTCAATAAAAATGCGTTTTTCAATGTCTTAGTTATCCAACCTCCTTTATCCAATCTATCTATTTGTCTTTCTTTCTCTTGTCACACTTTTTCTAATGATTTATTGTAGGAAGAACTTTATGACCAAATATAAAACCCTAATCCCCTTTATTAACCAACGTCTATCAAATTAATAAATTCTAATAGTGTGATGAACGTTCTGGGTACTTCTGAATCTGCCAGCCATTAACATTTTTCAAGGTATGATCTTGGTTGTAATATTCCTTGAGCTAAACTGCTGTTACACATGCATGAGCTTGAATGGTTGCAAGGTAAAAATCCTAATAACTACGTTTACTTTGATAATAATAGGATTTATCCCATTTAATTAATACAATATTATTCGGTCTGAATGGGGTAGGTTTGTAATCGCTCGTAGGCTTTAATCTCAGAGCATTTCAATAACTTGGCTACAAAGGAGGTCCTCATTATGTAAAATTGTGCAGAATCATGGTTCAAGGAATTAACAAGTAAGAACACACTAATGAGACATGAGTCCAACCTACGTAAGAAATTTGACACCGCTCTTAACTCAAAACCTTAATACATTAAATTATAAGTCATTCTTACTTGTTGATTAATTTTTTTATTCTTACATAATATGCGATTTTACACTCACACTTGAACTCTGAAGTACTGTTTTGGAACAAGAGTTTGAACATCCAATTTTGTCAAATATGCATTTGGTTGGTAAATTATCCTTAATTGCTGATAGAATTTTGGAGGCACTGTTTTCCTCAAAGGTAGAAAAATGATCTTCCCCTGTTTTATAATATTATTATATGTGCCTGCTAAACCATTTACTATTTTTGTCATTTTGAATTGAAAATTTAGATTCACTTGCTAATTCAATAGTGTCATTTGAAGCCAATTAGTTGGAATAAATCTCCAACCTCTGCAGTGTGTAGCTATCCCGAGTTACTAATTAATACATTATATCGAACTCTTGCATCAATATAATTAGTATTCAAAGTTGTACCGTCTTCTTTTGTTGGGATTTTCTTCCCTTATACTAAAACTTGCCTTTGACATACCATAGTGTTATATATATATATATTAAAAACCTCTACCACCGCATCATATTTGAAGATGAAATAACTAAGAACTTATATAGTTGTTGTTGTCAAATAGACATTTGCATGGTGAAATATCTCTGATTGCTGAAATTTAGATTGAATTTGGTATGCTTCCTCATACTTGTTCATCTTGTGCTATGCTTGCTGCGCCTAACTTACTGAGAGTGATGACTTCAAAATTAGAATGTTCCTCTCTGTCTTTTTCGCTGCTTTTTTCTATTGTTTGCTTGGCTGGTAATATATGATCTTCAGTAATAGTGCTTGATGACTCGTACTCGTTGCTTTTACCCCACACCACAAGATACAGCCCTAAAATAATTACAACAGCTCCAATTGCCCTGTAAAATTTATCAGAATTATTAGTTTAATTTCTCAAAAGTTTTTCTCTAGTTTTCTGAACATGTGTTTTGGTTTCCCATCACCTTCCGAGGTACATTTGTTCTGCCAGAAAGAAGGAACCCATGATAGCTACAATGACCATGCCAAGAGGGTTAAAAGTTGTTACAAAGACAGGGCCTCTATCTTTCATCACCGCTCCTTGGATGTAATAAGCCATTCCTGAGCACACTATGCCCTGCATGAGAATATTTTGCAAATTTATAGAAGAAAAATATAATTATTAAGTCTGATACTTCATGCATGAAAATGGTGTGCTGACATTTATAAATTATATTTTAAAGTTAATTTGTCATCGTGTCTATATGGTTTATGAATGGCAATAGTGCACCAAACCTTTAAATGCATGCCGTGCAGAAATTTTGTTGGGACCATGAACACTTGGTGGTTCTCCACTAAAGTTTTTCTTTGAGACCTAATTTAATGACTTTGAAACTTACACGGCTTTGGATGCCATGGTTTGTTTTAGCGGGTTTCTGAATTCTTTTCTTAAACTCAGCTGTATATTTTGTTTTTTCTTAAGTTTGATCAAGAGTTGATGGTTGTGTTCACTGTAAAAGTAAATAACCTACACTGTAGACAGCAGCTAGCAATTTTGTATCCCATTTCAGAGACCAGGCTGAAAAATTATTCCTTTCCATAACCAGTGCCACTATGCCACCTTCAACCGAACCCAATAGGCATATCCATGCTGTAAGAGAGAGCTCAGCAGGGTACGCTTCAATGGTAATAGCCTAGATCAAGAGATGAAACTGTATTAGTGAGCCCCATAAAATCAAAAGAAAAAATGTTGTTGACGATGATGTTGTTGATAACTCACTTGGAGAATCATGAAACAAGCGCAACTAAAGCAGCCAATTGTGATCATCACCGATCCCTTAATTGCATGTTGAATATTTATCCCACCATTTTCCAGGTTGTGTGTATTGCTTCCGTGTGTTCCAAAAAGATCAAGTATTGGGCCCTTTATTAGTGTCATGATCATGGCACCTGCAACAGTAGCTAAAGTTCCCACCACCTTTGCTTGACTGCGTACACTTTTTAATTTTACCTTCTCAAGCCTGGGATTGCCACTCAAGTTTCAGATAAATTTCATGAAAATGGCATATAGAGTTTGTCACTTTATGTAAAATGTTTGAGTTTTACAGAAAAATATTGAAGTTGCATATTCAGTTACAGACATAACTTGATTTGTATATTTCAATGTTAATTGGGCTATTTTAAATATTTTTCTAGCAAACTAAACAAGTTAATGCATTAAAAAGAGAACATAATCAAGCAACTAGAAAAATAGTGATAATTTTTTATTCGGTCTATTCACATAAGTGGTGGTGTACCCGTGGAATCCTATAAAGTCTAGTCACACATTTTATAGTTTTTTTTTCTTTCATTTTTTTCTATCATGATATTCATTCAAACTTTCCTCTCTTCCGAGATTTCTCATTATCATAAAAAATAATTATGCAACCTTCTTGCACGAACATTACTGATGTCTTCAATAAAAAAAATTATGATGCCTTTTTAACCATAAAACTCAATAATTGAACGGTATGAGAATATTACCTGAGAATCCAAGCCATGAGAAAGGTAATGGCAGGGAGGACATTGTACATGGAAACGGCAAAGGTTGCTGTGGTGTACTTCATTCCCAAAAAATATAAATTTTGGTCAATAACTGGCCTGCCATAAGAAATTATGTGAGAGATAAGTGCATGAATATATTGGATGGTAAGGAGGAAGTGTTAAAAAGCATGCATGCAGTGAATTACTCTAGCAAGCTGAGAATCACTATCTTCATGAAGATTGAAAATGTCATCTTCGGCCTCACTTTCCTGTTAAAAGTATGCAGCATTACCTCAATAACATGTTCACACAATTAATCACAGAAACACATGGAAGAGAGAAACATACTTCTCCAAGAACACTGCAAAAGGGAGCGTGACAACAAGAGCAAAAACATGACGGTACACGACAAATACATAGTTACTCATTCCCTGGTTCAGTGCAGCTTTGGATAGAACATCCATACCAGCATATCCAAACTGTAAGAACACTACACCTATGAATGGCTTCAGTCTATTAAACAGTTTTTGTTTAGAACCAGCCATCTTGTTTCAGTTTGGGACTAGCCTATTTCTTGAGGCACAAGAATAAGATAGCACACCGGTGCACCACAGAAGGCTTGTGTTTATATAGTGGGGTGGGGTGTACATGAATTAGTACTTAAAAAATTCGTAGTATGGTATACATTATATTTATACCCACAAATAGGAGCCCTGCTATTTCACGTAACCAAGTGGGAGAGTCACAGTAATCAACGTACTTGATCCTCAAATTCTTTAAAATGTCGGTGTCTGCTTTCAATTATTACTATCTTTTGCATAGTTGGAATGTTACTCATCATGGAGTAGCTTTTATAATAATATGGTTCACTTGTTTCTTCTTTATTTGCTTCTTTCGTGATTCGTTTATTTTACTTGATTTTACGTATAAACTATATTTCTGAAGATTTTTCTCCAGACAAATTTTCTCTGTACTTTGTCAGAAGATGAGGAAGAAAAGTAATGCCCCAATAGATGATTTCATATGAGGTGTATGTTTACTTTTAAAGAATTATTAGGATCCATGATGGAGCTGATCTTGATTATGTGACAGCACCAATTAGACGTAAATTCCCGATCAATATATTCATGACAAATATCCTTTTATTTGTTTATTTCTGATTTTCTGCAAAATTCAGCAGATGTACTTTCGTTCCTCTTGAGGAGTTAATGGAAGAGGATGAAATGATCTAAAGTTGTGGATAAAAAAGGTTGTGAATTATTCAAGTGCATTATTGAATATAGTCCAATGAGTCAATAATCGAGAGCGACGTATGAAGCATGATTAGCACAAGCATCATAACCATTTATCCTCGGTTATTAGTTTTGCTTTGTTCTGTATAATGCGTTAAAGGTTTGGTGACTTTGGTCTTAGGTCAAGACTTGAAAGTATGGTAAGCACTAAGGTCCACTTAGTAGCTGGTGGCTTTAAGCCTTTTTAAGCACGGTTGCTTCTTTGTGCTTTTAATATGTGCAGCCACTAGCATGACTATTTGGATACTCCACCTCCTTTCTGGTCACAGTTACCCACTCACTGTTTATTTTAAATGCAAGTGGGCCTTTTCCTCCCACTCATTCTGTAAAAAATATTACAGTTTCTCTCTCATTATTAAAGATACTCAAAATGGAACATTAGAATGATTCGCATATACCTGATACCATACTTGTTCACAACTTTCAAAACATATCAGTGAGTACAAACAGGTCAAACTGTTTATTTCATTTTTATAGTATGCAAACACTTAGTTCTGTTGTAGTTACTATTATTAAAAAACATAATATTATGTGGGTTTTGTTTCTTTTAAATCCTATAACATTAACTAATTCTCATTGATCCTGATTCCAATGTCTTTAAGGTTGTAGAGTTCAAACAAGTTTTTTGTTGCGTTGTTTAAGGACTAAGTGCTTAGAATATACTATGTATCAATCTGATGCAATATTGATCTTTTCCCATTGTTCCTGTCGTGTAACCCTGCTACTCACTGGTTCTTTAAAACTTCCATAAAATCAAAATCGGTAGCAAAAAACTGCTAATTTTGTTGTGATTGTTAATTGCCAAAATTTTGAAAATGAAAATGTTTTGGTCATGTGTCGCCGCTAGAGACAAACTTTGACATTGGGTGTTTGGTAGAATCATTGGGATCAAGAAATAGACTAAATAGAAAATTTTCCATATTTTCAAGTGTCTTATGTAGCAAGATTAAAAATGATATAGCAAGTTCTCATTGTTGCAAGGAGTGTCATGATAAATCACTGCTTGTAGCCTTTCCAAAAAAACCACGTCTCGACCTCAAGACTCTTTAATTTACAGTCAATGAAAATGAATTGACGTAACAAGATTTAAAAGAAACAAAACCCACAAAATAAAAGGAGGTTGGAGGTTTGATGAGGAAAATTGAGGAAGAGAAAGATGAAAGAGAGAAAAAAGTGTTGACAAAGACTAAAACATTAAAAAAAAACTATTTCATATAAGAAATAAAGTGGAGGAGTTTTAAATGTAATAACTAACTAAAACACAATGATTATGCAAAATAAAACTAAAATGTAAGCACAATACAAGGGAATAAAACATAAAGCACAACACTACTAAGAAACTTAAAAAAAGATCAGTATTTGTATAGAGATAAATAAATGATTTCTGTATGAAGAAACTGAAAGATAAAATGGTAATTCTTTTATACTAAAGCTAAGATTTGTATAATTACATGAACAAAATGAATAACTAAATCATACAAATAAATTTAAATATCCAAATGATTCTGTTCAGGGAAAGAAGCATCTCGTGAAGGCTCTGAACAGCACCGATAATAACCTCCAGTAACAATTCAAGATATGTCCAAACTAATTATGGAGAAGATGGCCATAAAAGATCACACATTGAACCATGTACTCAAGATATGTCCAAACTAATTAAATCACCAGCTTCTAGACTCCCATTTTAACATAATCGTTGGAGCTTGAAATAGATGGTCCTCTCTCGCCCACTGTAGGAATCCTGTAGACTTTAAATGTAGCCTCGAAGTTTGTGAGAAATACATAAAGACTATCTTGGACCATGGTCCATGAAAGAACACCTATTTCTATAATGGAGGATTATATATAGTTGATGCCAATGCCATTTGGTTTGATAATGGTGTTGATTTCAATGGAAAAAATTATTATGGCATTTAGTCTCAAAATTTATCACTAAATATTTAAAATAATATATTACATAACTCTCCTAGTATTTAGGAATGGAAACTACACATAATTTAAAAACACTACATTTGCGAACTACAAAAAAGTGATGAAAAAAAGTATTTGTTTACATGGTAGGTGTATATAATAAGTAAAGATATTTACATACAGCGTTTAAAACATGGTATTGGTATTGGATACGTGGGAAGAGGATAAGATTGGGATAGTGGGTCATTCCTTCAAAGCATTACAGTCAATGGAAATTGGGAATCTTACTCAACGCGGGTCCCCTTTCACATTTTGTTTCCTGCATGGCTGAAAAGAGAAATACTAATCAAATAACAACCAAATAAACTCCTGTTTTCTATGGCCCAATTTAATTTTCCTCTTTATTTTTTTTTTAAATCATCACTTTATTCTTTAACTTTATAAACCATAATCCTTTTAGTACAGAGACACAGTTTTGAAAGGAACTAAAGAAAACTACACTAAGATCCTGTTTGATATTGGGAGAAAAATACGGTAAGTAGAATAAAAAATATGCGGGAAAATATATAAAAATAAAAGAGAAATAAAGAAGAGATGATAAATAAATAAATGAAAAATAATATAACAAATCTCATTTTTAAAAAATATATATATTTTCGTTTTATTTTTCCTCTTTCAATCATATCAAATTATTGCTATTTATTTTTTTTCTTTTTATCTTTCACTTACCAAGCAAATAGGACATGTTGAGTAGTGACTTGGGTATATAATTGTTGTAAAGTCCGATATTAAAATGCTAAATGCCCACAAGTTTTTATTTTAATAATTAGATAAGGAAGAAGGACTCAAACAAATAAAATAAAAAATCTTATAGGTAGAGACTTTATGGTGTCTTTTCTATTGATTTTAAGGAACTAACACACATGATTGAAAAAGCATGAGTATTAATTGAAGGGCAATGAAAAACAGCATTAGTTAGCTTCAAAACTTACGTGTTTTCAATTGAAATAAAGAAGAAAGGACAAAGAAAAAAAAAAAAGTATGTTCGGTCTTTCTTTGAATATTAAATGTGATGAAACATGGTCGCGACCGAAAGCACGATCGATTTTGATGAATTTGGGTTCGCAATTTGGCTATTCAGCAACAGTTACCTTTAACTCCTAAAACTGATACAATTTCTTCCTTTTGGTTTTAGTGCTGTTTTTTTCTATTCCACTCAAAATCAAATTTTGGTGATTAATACTTCTCTAAATCCTCTGCTGAAGTTTATAACTTTATCCTATTCACATAAATCAGAAACAAAAGTTACATGATTCATATGGTAAGCAATTTTGACAATCAAAATCAACAAAAATCAAAAATTGGATCAGTTGAATCAATCTAAAGATTAATTCGTTATTCATAAATAATTCGATTTTTATTAATTTAGAACAAAATTAAAAAATTAAAAAAATCAAAAAAATCGATTACTTTTTTATCAAAATAATTTTAATAAAAAAATTTAACTAAATTTTTTAATATAATTTTTTTATAAAAATACAATATATTTTTAAATGTTGCAGTCTAAATGAGACTTTGTACCCCGCGCAGTAATTAATGTTGTAGCAGTAGTGTAAATTAGGCTGTAATTTTGTAATTAATGACGTGGACTTTACTGTTGTAGTTACAAATGTTCTATAAATGTGACTTTAAGGATGAAAAAAGTTTAGTCAGTGTACCTATGATGTTTTATGTCCTTAATCTTTAAATATGTCATTTAAATTTTAACCACATACTTACGTTTAATACTGATTTATTTTCTTCTTTATAATAAATATAATTAAAAAACAGCAGTATAATGGGTAAAAGGTAATTACCACAATGTTAAACTTTATAAATAACAAGTATCCGGACACTTTTTTTTTCATCAAATCAGCAAATATTTTAAATCAGGGGAATATTTTCTAAGGAAGATGTATTAAATGATTAGATAAATATTCATGAAATTAATGTAAAAGCACTAATATTATTTAGAGAATAACAAAAATAACACATTAAATATTGTATATAGCATAAAATAAATTATCTAAATTGTGTTTGTGTCATTACTCAGAACATATTAAATAGTTTATATGTTACTCAATATATGATTAAATATGGGTAGTCTCTAAATTTATCAATTATTAATAAATTTATTGTAATTAATTAGGACTTGGAAAAAGGGATTCACATATTTAAAGATCAAAATAGTTAATTATTATATTGATTAAATTAAAAATTATCTTGATTAAATTAGTTTCTAAAATTAAATTTAAATTACTGTCTACTTATCAAAATTTTCTTGACTAAAAAAAATTATATTATAAATTGTTGAAATTGGAATCTAAATATCAATTAATAGATAAAATCTTAATAATTAAAGTTAAAAAATAATTTATATGTAATTCAAAAATCAATTTAATTTAAAAATTTATAAGTACTTAATATAATGATTAAATAAGGATATATAGTCTCTAAAATTATCGATAATTGATAAATTTTTCTGTAATTAATTAAGATTTGAAGAAGATGTTCACATTTAGTGTGAGATTATTTAAATTTTAACAACATTTTATGTTTTAATTTTTAATTAAATTTTGTAACCTTACTTTGTATTTGTTTTTTTTTTCAAAGATAAGAAACTATTTTAATTTTCTTTATTTATATGTATTTTAAAAAAATAGGAAAGGGATTAAAAATAGAGTGACAATTTAACAATCAAAACTAAAAAAAATGTTTTTTTTTTCTAGGTACACGACTCATGTCCAGTACTGCTACAGACAAAATTGTTTCTTCGAAGAAAAATAGTTATCAAAAATAAAAATAAAAATGTGATTTTAAAAATATTTGTTTTTCTCTTCAATATCTTTTAATCACTATTAGCAAACAAAATAAATATTTACCATTTTTAATTTCAAATTATTTTTAAAACTATTATTTATGAGAATATACTGTAACAAAATATTGTGGCATCATCTTAGACTACATTGGTTACACTCGAAAAAAATGAACCTTGTTAAAAATAATAATAATAATAATACTTATAAGCTATTACTCTTTTTTTTTCATTTTTCTATCACACTAATTGATATAATAAAATCACACTTTATCTCAAATAATTAAATATATTAGTTTTGTCATGTACTATTTATTAGCTACTTGGCTAATTTCACCGAATTTTTTAATTCAATTACCTAGTTAGTAAGTGTTCAATTATTTAGTTTATAATTTATACTAATGTAGTTCATGTTTATAAGATCCTTTTTTATAAAATATTTATTTTTAATTTCTAATTGACTTGATCATATGTTGAGATTGTTAGGACAAAATTTCTATTGGATTTCGCATTTATATAAAATGAATTTAGGTTTAAATCGGTTGATGGGATCAGACATAGCACACATGAGATGTAGTTATTTCTCTTCATTGTGGCAAACAAATAGTCAAATATTATCTAAGATTCCAAGTTCCCAATTTTTGATTTGTCCTTTCACAAAATTAATTGGTACAAAATTTTATTTCCATGATACTTTTGGGCCCACTTCGGTCTTATGTCCCTAATGTACATCTTCCTTATAAAAAGTTCTTCTTTAAAACCATGTGTTTTTTATAACATCCATGGAATAGTAGGAGAACAAAATAACTTTTTTATATATTTAAATTCTAGCTTAATTATATTTTACCTTCAATTTGAATAGTAGAAAAAAATGTACATAAATTCTAATAACAAAAATTTAAAGTTTTCTATACCAACTCTCATTAATTAGTAATAGGATTAGTAATGCTTGTTTTGGTTTATGATGATGAAAAATAACAAAAGAAAATAAAGTTGTTGGAAAGTTTGAATTAGGAATTAGAAGAAAAATAAGTAAAAAAACATAAATAATTTTTTATTATTATTTAATATTTTTTTAAAATGTACTATTATAATAATGAAAATGAAAAAAATATATTAATAACTTCTTAAACTATAACCAATTATATAATGTATACATTATTAAATATGTACTGTACATAATTCATTTTCTTGTCGATGTTATTATATAATCGCGAAGAGATAGGATGTTAATTTTTTTCATAAGATTAGTTAAGCAATTAATTAAATTTGTATATTTTTGTTTCATCAATTAAGAGAGCAATAATTTTCATAAAAAAAAAAACATAATTGTGAGCATTAGTAAGTATTAAGTAATACGTTATCTTTGAAAAAAAATTATATATATATATATATATATATATATATATATATATATATAAAGTAAAACTTAAGAAAAAGAGTTAGAAAAGTTATAAATTCATAAAAGGTGTAGACTATTACAAGTCAAAAATAGCTAAGTGGATCCTCCTTTGCATTTTAACCTATACTTTTGCGAAACATTGCAATGTGACCACATGCCTTATGTGGGCCAAGCCCACCAAGTGGTGAACACGTAGGTGTATTATTTATTATCATCTTCATGAATCATAAAAAGTATAGAATAAGATTTGAGGTACAATTCAAGTAATTTACTAAATGTACCTATTCTATACTCAATTTTTATAAGTCTTCTACATCTTTTATTTTTATTTGAAATTATATTAAATCTATTAAAAGTGTAAAATTCATTTTTCTTGTAACAATAAATTATTATCAAATTAAGAAAAATTATTATTTTACAAACCGATATATAATTCGTAAGAGCTAAAAAGAGTTTCAATATATTTTTATTATTATTATACTAATGGAAATAATTGTTTTTTTCCATTACATTATATATATCAGTATTCTAAAATTAAAGTTGACCACGTTCACATTACTTGTTTGAAAATGGTTTCTCTTCAATTAAAAGTGTAAATTTATAATAACAATACTTCAAAATTCAACTCTTGTTTTTATTCTCATCAAATACAACACACTTTTTATCTATTTATTTTATGCTTCAAGATGTATAAATCTAAAAACAATGTGAATTAATTTTTACTTTAACTTTGCATGCGTTATGGTTAAGCGGAATAATTACACTATCGAATATACAAATTAAAATAATTAATAAATAGAATTTTTAATTGAAATATACAATAGAAATCTTTGTAGTAATAATATAAGAACTCTAAATACTTCCACTCTAAAATGTTATATCATTTTATATTTATATCCACGTGGCATAGTACGTAAACTTGTTCTAACAAAAAAGGGAAATTTCCCTCCAGGGAAAACATGTTCCAACAAATGTGCTCCTTCGTAAGAAATTATATATAAATGAAGACTATCTTGCATATATAATAATAAATTATGTTGGTGAGTCTCACATCTTGGATTTGCTTCCACCATGTGCAAAATTATATAATCAATTAATTAGATTTAACTTCAAAAATATTTGAATGTTAGTAGCTGATAACTCAAATATTATTTGTTCATAGAAGACCTTTTTAAGAACATTTGTTATATAAACTTCTAATACAAAAAACTTGTTCTTTACATATCGATCAATTATTATAATTATACGTATAAAATTGTTCATGCAAACTTTCTTTAAATAAGTTATAAGTTTTGAAACATAAACAAAAATTACGACAAATCTAATTTTAGGATTATCATAAAAAAAAAATGTAGTCTTCGTTAGCCTTGAATTTTCTTTGTATTTTCCCTCTTTTTTTGCCATGAACTATTGAAACATTGATTTCAACATCAGGTGATACAGTTGGGATATCTATCTGATGGGTGATGATTTGCATGGTGATTGACTCAATATATCTAATAAAGAAAGATGAATGTGTGTCTGATACTGTGTATGTCCCTCACATCGTATATCCAAATCATGAAAAGTATTATATAGTGTTCATGCGATTGCGATGGGATGGGCGGTTCACGCGGTTTATCCAATCCAATCCAACTTTTCTCCATGCATCATTCATTATTCTTTGTAATACCATTCGATGACGAGTCCAATTTTGTTATGCATGTCTTTGTCTTGAATTGGATATGCTTTAAAGGAGGTGTGTTGTGTTGTGTCCACCATGAAAGTAGATCATACAACGTCTCTCCCATTTTATTCTTCTCTTCCATCAACTCTATTTGTACCACTCATCCATCCATGCTTACGTTCTCACCGTCTTAGTTTACAATACAAATGGTGTGAGAGAAAACCATTACTGCCCCATCGCATATCCAAATGATGAGAATGAAATAAAGAAAAGACGTGACGTGTTCCCAGCATTTGTATATCAGAAAGTGGAGCATGCATGAAGCTACAATTCTATCACACAACAAGGTACACCCCATCTCTAGAAATTTCAGATTGAGAGAAAAAAAGAAAAACAGTAAGAAGAATATAGATAGAAAGAGGAATAAAGTAAAAGTGATAGTCCAAAATGAAAATAGTAATTGAAATTTTAAAGGTGACTTCACTGAAATAAAAAGTAAATTATATATATTAAAATATTTTAAATTATTATTTAATCACAAATCATTTTATTACTTTTTTTTATATCCACAAGTTTTTTTATTGATTATTCTTTACGTAAATAAATATATACAAAAATTGAACTCATAAAATTCCACATGGCAAGGGTATTATCGTCAATGACTTTTTATTTTATTTTATTTGCGATCCATTATATTAATTTGTAAATATTCATTTTCCAAGTTAGCAAATAGAGTATAATGAACAGTTATAGAAGTAAGTTCAACTCTCTATTTAACATAGGTTTTCATTTATTCGTATTCAGAGGGAAAACATTTTTGTTTGATGATGATGAGGTGGTATTTAACGTGATTTTTTAAGTGAAACTGTTACATTTGTTTATTTTTTTAATTCAAACTAAACAATATCATTATTAATTCATTCGGATTGGTGTTCTAGGATTACGAGGTTAGAAATTATCAAAATAAGTAAAAACATTTAGTATAATCTTATTTTTCTGGATTACATATTTTAGAGTTGCTTTTAATATTTTCAAAACTACTTTCTTCTCTCGAATACGAAGGGTATGATAGACAAATCGAAATTAACAGGGTGTGCAAGAAGCAAAGTCCCATACAATGTGCATCAAAGCTTTTCAAAGTGGACTTTTGGTAGAGTCTGGGATGCATATCTTTCCGCCAATCTCATTCTTACTTGTATTTCTTAAGTGCATATGTGAGTGTTGAATTGGGCCTTTGGCTCATTTTAATAATTTTTTTTTTTAAATCCGCTTCTTATTAATATTAAAAACAACATTTAATTTTACTCCATAATGTTGGCGATCTCATGTTTTTTGGTTGGTTGTATATATATATATATATATATATATATATATATATATATATATATATATAAAAGTAAGATACACATTTATAAACTTTTTTTTAGGAATAGAGTTAGGTTCATCCATCATATTATAATTTATTTGTTAACATATCTTATTAATTAAACATTTGAAATATGTATGATAAACCAATTTTATAGGATACGAGGGTCAAACAAAAACATGTATCACGTTAATGTCACGTAAAAGGAAATGTGGTAATCAACATTCTACTTCATCAACTATTAGTTGAAGAAGTAATCTTAGTATGCATTTGATTTTTTTTATTTTTTACTTTATTATAAAATATAGACATTTTAAAACTATATATATATATATATATATATATATATATATATATTAAGTTCTTAAATTATAACAAAGTGAATAAACTATAAATATTTTAATATTAAATTTTATTTACACTTTTAAAATTATTTTTGAACTTTTTTCAAGTTATATTTAATGCAACTGCGAGTGAGTGTAACTCAACCAACAAACCTATCATAGGTTAGGTTGATTTGAAATATTCAATACAATGAAAAATGAGGTTCAATTAATTAACCTAATGCCATATTTTTAAACTGATTAAAAATGTGTTAGATTGAACTACTTATACTACCACACATTGTTCAATAGTGTGTTGCAATATAATTAAAAAATATTTATATTGTAAAATAAATCATTATCAAAATATCTATATACAATCCCTTTTAAAACAATAACCTAAACACCAATAAACCAACCTCAAAATAACCCAATAATCTAAAGGTGGATATATTTTGTTCAGTTCAACTAAGTTCTCAAAATAGTTTTTCTTTTAGTTTTTAGGATGAGACTAAACTTATTTTAGATTGACAGAAAGAAAATAATGTCTTGTTTGGATTGTGAAGTGAAAAACAAAAAAGATAAAAGAATGTACAAAGTAAACAAAAATGATAGAAAAATGGTAAAAGATGAGATTGAATATTAATATATATATATATATATATATATATATATATTAACGAAAATGCCTTGTATTTATAATAAATAAAATAAATATAAATTAGAATTATAATATAATTTAATATAAAATATTTTTTTTATACATGAGATACGTTAAAATTATTTTATATATAAAGTACACAAATAATTTGTGATATTTTGTACAAATATTCAAATTTTATTTATTTATTATCTCAATAATAATTTATAAGTTCTTTGTAAAAATTTGATTTCACATAAAATACAATATTTAATTGACAATTACCTGAAAAAAATTTATAGTTATCCAAAATAAAACTTGAATAAAAAATACAATAATAATAAAATTGTAGTCATAAAAAATGTAGTTATTCAAATAAAAGTACAATCATCTAAAAACAATTGAAAAAAAAACAAAATTCAATTATCCAAAGTAAATAAAAAAAGGTGCAGTAATAAAAAAAACTTAAATAAAAAGACAAATAAAAAAATCACAAAAATGACATGAAAATATGTCTTTAACATGATAAATTCTATAATGCATATAATTAATACTTCGTTAAAGACTTTGATAATTATTTTGAACATTGATTTTAAATCTATTCATATGTCTTTCCATGTTTTTAACACTTCTTCATATTAAGTTTATAGTATCAATTAGCTAAGGAAGTTATACTTGTTCTTCTTAAGCATGTGTTTGTTCTTCTTAAGCATGTGTTTGTTCTTCTTCAACCTTCACATTTTCATTTTCATTAAACTAGTTATTCCATTGTTAGACATCATAACCTATGTTGTCATGCATTATCAACATTTATCATATTAAACTTTTTTAAAGATCTTTTATTAAATATGTTTGTCCAATTGAAGGAGTGACTTGACAGTAAAGTCAAGTCTAAGCTGCAATGTAGTAAAATACGAGTAATTAAAAGATCATAAAATAAAGATATATTATTAGTCTTATATTTTTTTATATATTTTATGATAAAATAATGTCAACATGTGATTGTTTATGTATCATATAATTGATAACAAAGAATTTCTAACTTTAACCTAATATAATATAACACATGAGTCAACGTGGCTAAGATCATGTGAAGTTATTTTCATGATTTTATTTAATAATTAGTTGGGCCAATATATATGTTATTGGACTTGGTCGTTTTTTATAGTGTGAGACTAAATTAAAAAATATCTAATATCTTTAATTGAAACATGTACGTTAGAGAATCAATCTCATTAAGAGACAACATGAAAAAGCTTGACCTTTCAGATTTCTCTTATAAATTCATTTTCAACTATCTATTCCAGAATTGTTGTCCTTCCTCCCACACATCTTTCTTGATCTCGTTCTTATGATTCTTCTTGGATAACATGTAGATAAAGTAGATTGATCCCTTCTATGGGGTTAAAGACAAATTTGAATACGATCTTAGCGTTTTCATTTTAGGTTCTTCTATTTGAGATTACAATTTTACAATATTCTATTATTTGATTGTTTTGTTCTTCAACTAAACTGAGACTTTATTTTGTTGGGCATGTAAGTCTTTAAGGGGTTTCAAAAAGCATGGATAGAATAATGCCTTTGTTGCCCCCACCTTGTCCATTTGCTTCCTTCTTTGACCATTTTCCATGGTGGATCCTCCTTTCATTGTTAATCTTAGTTAACACTACCACTCTCGTTTTTTTTTCCTTCTCTTTTGTTTCTTTCTCTTTATCGTACGAGGTGTGAGTATTCCAACAACGGATTGGGCATATCGAGGACTGATTTTGTTCTTTTTGTGATTGTTATTCTAAGTTATGTTTTGATACCATTGTAGTTGTAACTCCAAATGAAGTTTTAAAGGTATTTTATTTCTCAAAAGTTTTGGGAACATTAGCCTTTAGATATAATAGTTTATGGGTTATATGCTTTTAGACTTGTCTTTTTAATGTTTGAATTTAACGAGCTTTGCCTATTTTATCCTTGTGAAACATGTTTTTGTTTTGTAATTATGCCTCGTTTAGTTGTTTGTATTCAAAGTCATGTTAGTATAATTAGATCTGACTCATGACCTGATCATTTAGATTAGAATAATGTGATGACAATATAAATAGTTTAATAAGGTTGGTTGATTATATTTTAAAATGGTAATTAACAATTTATTATAATAGTATTTCATATTTAATATATTACTTATTTTTTGATAATTATGAATTTTTTATATACTTATATTTATTGAAATAGATTGACAATAAAAAATATTAATGTAATATAATCTAATCATAAATTGACATATAATTGAAATTTGTTAACTTGATTACTTGAAAGTCATATAGTAATATGTAATACGATTTATAAATAATAAATTGTATACTTATAATGAGTCAAAGTTAAAGTATTCTCTGAAATTAAAAGATAATGTATTTTTAAAACATTTGATAGACACTAAGTAATTTGTGTTGTCGTAAGCTATTGACTCTTTTCTCCAAGTACATCATTGTTAATTAATTAAAAACTTTACAATGGTGTTTTTATTTATTAGAGTGCACATTAAATGTTTTTTATAATTCTATTTAACTCTTGTCCACGCTAGTTCTACACTAATAATGAAATATGTACGTGAATAATGTTTGAATATCTCGTTCTTATTATGTAGATTAGTGTTTTCATTGTTTATGTGATATGCTGTTTTTTTTAGCCTCTACGTATCTGATATAATTGATGAGCTCGTGCTTTGATGACAACTTTATCAGTAATCTTCGAAGAACTTTTAGTGAGTCATTACGTATTAAAGATGCTAAAAAATCTATAAATGAGAGTAACAAAAATTTGTGTAGAGAAATTAACAAGCAAGAGACAAAGGTAAACATTATGTGTTTGAAAAAGTCTTCAACCTTCCCAACTCATGATACAATGCTTCCTCCAAGCTAGTCCGATGAGGAGGCCAATACATCAATTATAAAATCACGCTCTGAGCATTCTACTCATCTAACTTACTCTCGCTTAATATCTCTTCCTATGCGTTCATAGATCAATATTAAAGGTATTATAGATGTTAGAAAATATAAGTGTAATTCTAAGTTTTACATTGAGTAAGAATAAGAAGTTGAACAATATATAATGAAGTATGATCTATAATCCAATGTCTTAAGGTTTTTGATTAAAAGTGATCTCAATCCTTATGTGGGTTGAGTTCATGTCTCATTGAGCAACATATAAGGAAATATGACCTATAACCTAATGCCTTAAGGTTTTGGGTTGAGAGTGTTGTCAATCCTTATGTGAGTTGAACTCATGTCTTATTGGTGTGCGTCTCCCATGTGAATCCTCCTCAAAAGGCCCAACATTATTATCACACACTGTCAGAAGCAACATAAATCCATTAAGAATAAAAATGAAAAGAAGATATTACCACTCAATTCCCATTTTAATAGGAATGATTAGTTGTCAGAGTTTGTTATTTTTGGTCATGCATTCTTGTATCCGGTTTGTTACACGGTTACACAATAGGTGGGCCCGTAACATTGCCTCAGCCTTTTCCTTTGTTATTCCTTGTATATGAAAATTGATGTGCATGATTATGTTAGACAAATGACATTTAGAGGGGAGGTGAATAGATACACAAATTAAAATAGATGTCAAATTAAAAATTTATTTTAAGATGTCCAATAATTTATTAATTCAATTTTAATTATAAGATAAAATATAGATAAAACGGAAGCGATATAATCAGATAGATAAAGGGAAATATTCAAGCGTGAAGATGTAGGATGTGGTGTTGTTAAAGAAATAAAGGCAAGAGAAGAATACACAGTAATTTATATTGGTTCGGGTATAGTCAAACCTACATCCAGTTCCCAACCAACTCTAATCACAAGAGTGACTCCCAATTCACTTTCTTTAAAATTTAGTTTACAAATTACAATCAACTTAGCAGAGGAACCAGTAAAAAGTAAACTAATTAAAAAGACAATCACCTCCTTAAAAACCCACTAAGGATGAACACCTCCCTATAATCCCACTAGGGATGAACACCTCCTCTAAACAAATTAAAGGATGAAAAACTCCTTCTTTGCCACCAACACACAAAGGATGAACACCTCCCTAGAATCACACTAGGAATGAACACTTCCCCGAACAAATCAAAGGGATGAAAACACCTCCTTAGAATCCCACTAAGGATGAACATCTCCCTAGAATTCAACTAGGGATGAACACCTCCTCTAAACAAATCAAAGGATAAAAACACTTTCTTGAACAAAACAACGGGATGAACAATTTCCACACAGGAAACCCAAAACAAAACACAACATAATGATAGTGACTACTTAAACCTTAAACAGGGAATTTAACAATCAATCACTTAAGCCCACAAAGGATAAAGATAATAAAATAAGAACAATCACACCTGGGTAATGGAGACAATAAATGTAGAAGTTTGTAGAATGTAAACATCCAAGAACAAGTGTAATTAACAATGAAATGACAGTAGGCAATGGAGAATAGAGTTTTTGGTAAAATATCTATGTGGCAATGGAGAATAGGATTTTCTAAAAACATGTAAAATATCTCTGTTGTCTTGCTCAAAATTCTTTTCTCAAAACTGATTGAATGTAAATTGTATTTTCGAATTCTGTAATTGTGTGTTTTTTATTTCTATCAAAACTTAATTAAATAGAAAAATAGCATCAAAAAATAGTCGTTGGTCATTAATATTTTCGTAGAGAAAAGATCATGATGTATTCAAAAACATTTATTATTCAAAACGGATATTTTTCAAATTTGAACTGCCATAATCAATTATGTTACCTGTATAATCAATTATGACAATGAAAAATGTCATGTTACGAAATTTTATCACACTTGTGCTTTAGAGGCTTATGCATAATACCATTTCATCAACTTGTACCTCAATATCCAGTATTCTAAAACTCTATCTAGTCTTCAGGAATCATCTTGGGCTTGCTTGAGTCTTGAATGTTGTTAACTTGAATCATTATCAAAATCATCTCTTGAGAATAGAGGGACATATTTCACATTATCATCAATCTCCCCCTCATTGCTTTCAATCTCCATTTTTTTATGATGATCAAGGAAACACCTGAAATGAATTAAAATGTTTGACTCTATATAGCTAGCTCAATATTAACACAAATTTGCACAGTATATTTAAACTTCCCCTAGATATGTTAATAACAAAGTTTCCCTTAACTCATCTGAGCAAAACTTTTCCTAACTGCTCTGTTTAATTCAGAGATAGGAATGAATTTTACACATATTTTAATTCATCAAAAAATCTCCCTTTGTTTCATTGATAATCATAAAAAAAATTATAAGAGAAAAAAATATCCCCCTCTTTCACACAGATTAATATCATCAAATCTCTCCTTGTTTCATTGATAATTATGAAAAATATTGCAATAGAAATTGAGGACAAATTTGCACAGATTAACATATAAAACAAGACAAAGAAGATAATGCATCATAAAATGTCATAGAGAAAAACATCATATTAAGGAGACAATATCTAGATACCCAAGACAAATGAAGAGAGAGAAATATAGAGAAATGAAATAATTGCAGAGATAATGGAATGGAATGCAGTAGTTTTCCCCAATTGCAGTCTTCTTATTGAGACAACTTTCTAATTCAAATTGTAACAAATTTCAAATTTCAAATTCAAATTCTAAATTTCAAATTCAAATTTCTAATCCCAAATTTCAAATTCCAATTCAAATTCAAATTCAAACATCTCAAACTGCAAAAATTTCAAATTTCAAAATCTCAAACTGCAAAATTTCAAATTTCAAAAATTTCAAACTGCAAAATTTCAATTTTTCATAAATTCAGATTTTCAAAATTCAAACTTTCAAATTTCAAAGTTGGTCAACAATTGAATTTATGTGACAGATAAGTGCAAATATTCAATGCAAAAGTGTGGGAGACAATAATAAACTTATCTTTGTAATATTTTCCTGTTTATCTAGCTTGTTCCTGTGCACCCATCTAGCTCCAATAATCTGCATTGATTTATTATCCTTTATAATTGTCTGCAACATCAACATACAAATCTAGGTACCCTTTAATTATTTTTGGGTCCTTAAGAAGGTTAGTAGAATCACAAGTCTCTGCCAAAAGACTCAAAATAAAAGAATAGAATCATGATATAATAATTGATTATCACAACACCTTCAGAATCAACATAACTAATTATAACAACAATAAATTTTTTTTCCGAAAATTCATAATCTATTAGATGCTCAAACTATCATCTAGACATGTATAAATATTTTGTTCCTTTAGGCACCCATTCATATTTTCCATTAGATATGCCAAAATGTTTTATGTAACATCTATTTGATGTATGACCTAATTTCATGCAATAAAAACATGTTGGTTTTCTTTGAAGAGGTCTAAATGAGTTTCTTAAAGTTCTTAAAACTGACTTCACATCTGTTTTCCTTGACTCTTTAACAAAAATAGTTTTATGAGGTTCTAGACTTTCTTTGAGTTTGTAACCAAGTTTAACTTTGCTAGAATCACCTCTTTGATAACCTAATATAGAATCAAGATTTTCAAAAGATTTTGAAAACTTACTCATTATTTTCTATAACTTGAAAATCTCATTTTTCAAATGATTATAATTTTCACAAGGTTTAACAAATTTTTTATTTTAAAACAAAGTTTTAAATTTCTTAACATCTTTCTTTAAACACTCATTTTCTTTTTCAAGAATACCAACAATATTTTCTAGTGCATTAAACTTTTGTATAAATGCATTGTATTTTTTAGATAACTTGGTAAAACCTTCATACATATCTTGATATTCTTTAAACAACCCATCATATTTATTTAAGGATTTTGTACTGCTTACCTATGATGAGGTTTCTTGTGATGAAGCTTCATCAATTTTTGCCATAGAAAAAATATTTGCTTATTCTTCTTCATCACTGTTTTCGGAAGAACTCTCTTGTGTTGTGGAAGAATCATTATCCTCCCATTCAATATAAGTTTTGCATTTGTTCTTATAGATATCATTCTTCTCTTTCTTCTTCTCTTTCATATCTTTCTTCAGTTCTGGACAGTCTAGTTTGATATGGTCAGGTTTTCCACATTCATAGTAATGGTATTTATTTGTTTTCTCCTTTCTTTGCTGTCTCTTTTTCTTGTTCTTCATAAAGTGAGAAAATTGTTTAACAAAAAGAGACATATCGGAATCCAAAAACTTACTTTCATTCTCGCTTTCATCTTGTGAAAATTTTTCTGCTTTTAGAGTTATCATCTTGGTTTGATGTTGTTCACCGTTCTTTAACCTTTATAGCTCCATCTCATGTTCTTGCAACTTTCCAAATAGAGTAGAAATATTCATTTTTGTGAGATCCTTTGATTCTGTAATAGTAGTTACCTTTGGTTGTCAATTCCTGTCTAAGGATTTCAAGATCTTTGTGTTCAACTCCTCATTGTCAAAACTCTTTCCTAATGCTTTCAAGTAATTTACTATATGTATGAAGCGTGTCTAGAAATCCGTGATTCTTTCATTCTACTGCATTTGAAACAATTCATACTCCTTGATGAGTGTGTTCTTACGTGCTCGTTTTACTTCATTTGTTCCTTCATGTGTCACTTCAAGAGTGTCCCATATTTCTTTTGTCGTCTTGCATTGTGAGACCCTGAAAAATTCATTATGAGTTAAGGCAGAAATAATAACATTTCGGGCTATTACATCATATTGGGCACACTTGTTTTTATCCAGCGTCTATTGGTCAAAAGTCTTCAGAACAACTCCAGACTCCGTTTTTCTCATTGGAATGTAAGGACCGTTGAGTACAACATCTCAAACACCATAATCTAGTGTTTGTAAAAATA